AAAAATTAAAAGGTAAAACTAGATCAATGAGAATTATAGTTTGCATTGAGTGGTGAAAACACTTCTAAATTTTCCCTTCAAGTTTCTTTTTCAGGAAAATTTACAATTAATGGGCTTCTACAACAACAAAAAATATCCCCTTCTTCATGGCTCAGCTAGGGACCTGCCACACTAATCTATTCCCAGTCAGCTGGCCATGGTCCTTTCCTCTATCTGTCTTAGCATATTGATTTCTGAGCTGTCTTATTGGTTCCTAACATAATTACAGCAGGAGTGGGTTTCTTAATACTGCTAATACATTTACACCATGGCACCCAGGGAAGCTGACTATAACACTATCTGGTACCACTGCTACAGGTAATGGTCAGTTTCTATTTCTATTATAAACCTAATTTTTCAGGAAGTTTATAGTCTTCATTTGTTTGAAGGAAGAGAACACTGACTTTGAGTCTTCTAAGATTTGCATATTTCTGTCTCAAAATGTTTTAAAAGTGAAGTCTTTATACTCCTATTATTTGACATTTCCAGGAAAATAAACTATTTTCAGTTACTATGGGATCTTTGACATAGCAAATAATTTGACAGACAATTTAATTCTGGTATCAATACATGTAAAGTTGCTAGACTTTAATTAGGAACCCTATATATTAATATACTTTCATTTACAAAAGATGATACTCTCAGACTCCAAAGACTGAGGGTAATGAGGTTATCCCCTTAACAACAGATATTTGACAAAAGCACTATTTTTTGAAATAGAAAAATTGCCATAAAATGGTCTTTTGTTGAAATATTATTAGTGCTCTTCCTTAGTATCACAAAATACATAATGCAAGAAAAGTCTGTGGCACCATACAGCATTGTTTACATAGAGAAATTAAGATGTACTAGAGATTTTAAACAATTGACAAGTTAGAAATTTGGACTGATGTTTGTACATTTGAAAATATAAAATTACTCTTGTCTCAAAACAGTGTGGTTAATGTCATGTCTCAGATTTGGGTGAGCTGGAAAAGGATGACTCACAGATGAACACTTGAGATGTTGAACAGAAGTAACCTATAAATGCACATTCCACTGAGGCTTTCTGTCCTAGGGTCTTAGGATAAAAGATGAATTCCAGACCATGGAAAGCTCTCTGTTTGATTATGTGTTTTCTGTGAACTTTCTTAAAAGTGATAGAAGATGGAGATAAAGTACCCAAGTAAAATGTGCAAAGTACTTAACTCACGATCTCTAAAATATTCCACGTCTATGTTTATTATCTGTAAGCTCTAATTACTCCATGGAAAAGAAAATCCACATAGTAGTCACAATGGATCATAGGCAAAAATCAATCTGTAAATTTATGTTGCATAGTAGTATAATAAATTAATAACACTCATAGTATTTATTCACTTTAATTTAGATATAATTATTACATTTTTAATATAAATCTGTAATACTAATTTATGTAGATAGAACATTTTATATAACAAATTTGCTTCTTTAAAGAAGAGTCAGTTATAATTGGCACATTCATTTCAAAATTGATTTTTTTTCTTTCCTGCCTTTATAAACACAGATAGAAACCAACCACTTGGAGCATGATAATCTTCATACTCAGTCTCTGCTGTCATTGTGGATTTTACCTAATATTTTGGAATGTGCTTTGATTTCTTTTTTTGCATTTTCACTTACTTTTATGGAAAGCTTAGAGAGCAGAGAAGGGTCAAGATCTAAGACATAAGTTATTCCCCATGCCCAGAAGCTCCTGGCTTACAAAATAAAGCAGTGTTACAAGGGAATGCATCCCCAGAGGAGGGGGAGGTGAGTGTGATGAAGAGAGTCAAGGAAAGCTTGCCAGAGTATGATTCCAAGGATGGGAAATAACTTTAACAATATGCTAAGGCCAAATTATCTTGATGGACTTCGTTGAGCAGTTGAGTTTTCTACACATAAGTTGCCTGTCTGCTGTACCTAAGTACTCATCCCTTGCTATAACTTTTTCTAATTTTTTTTAAATGTATAAACTTAAGATGTACTCAGAAATAAAGAAACATACTTTGGCACTGTAGAAGGGAGGGACAACATCATAATTAGACTAGGGTTACAATTTTAATGACTATAATGTGGAAAGGGCAGCTATGGTAATTCATTCATGTTACCATTTCACAATATTCAGGCTACTTGCCCAGGAACTTTCTTCTCCATAATTGTTGAATTCCAGGTAAAGAAAACTGATGAAGAGTTTATCTGGGAGAAGATAGGGTAGATCCTTAAATTACTGTTCAGTGCACATGTATAGGAAAACAAATCAGTGCCCTCCTCCTTTTAGTGGACAGCATACACCATCTTGTCATTAGGCATAATCAACAAAATGCAAGCCAAAGATAAATGCCTTTCTAGGTGATGGCTGGACATGGCCCTAGTAAGTGGAAGTGTCTCAAAATGAATGGTTCCTGAAAGTCCTGACTTATGTGGAGGGGTTAGAGCTCTTTCAGGAACAGCCATTTGGAGAGATGTGAGATGATAAAAATAATCTTTTATCTGCTTATCTGAAGGAGAGTGTGTTTTAATCTAACCCAGAAAATAAAAACAATTTTGTATAATTATGCATGTGGAACTACATGCATAAACATTCATGTGACTAATTATTTATAACTTATTAAATTCCTGTATATTATATTTTAATTTTCAGAACTTTCTGTAAACTTTTATCCCTCAATGCATTTCTAAAGACAAACTGCCTTTTGCCTGATTTCTGTACTTTTTTAAATTCTATTTTTTATTATTTAAGAATTCCTGGATAAATTGAATAATGCAAGGATGACATAGGATGTAGCATTCCTAATTATTTTTAAAATAATGTTACAAACTTAATTCAAATAATGTTACTGGCTTCAAACAGGAATTTTTTATTTCTTTTTACTTGATGGCTAGAAATTTTATGTGCATGTAGTCACTGTAATCAAGAATCATTACTCTTTACCAATATAGTTTAAGAATAATGTAAATATGCACATTCATATAACTTATTATAAATTTCTAAAATAAACTCATGATTGCATTACCAACAGTTGAGCCTTTGAAATGTATAAACTCCCTTAAATTCAAATAAACCTTAGAGGCTTTGCATTTCAGCCAATATGCAGTCATTTAGATTTTGCCAGAACATTTCATACAATATCCTAGTTAGAAATTTCATATGGAAAATCAGATTGAACTGGACACTTCACTCTTTTAACCATTTCATGGGTTCTGTGTGAAGCATGGCATTGCAGTGGCAGAGGAATTCACAAATGATGAAGTGGAAACAGCTTAGCCAAACTCTAAAATCTTCAAAGGGCGTCTGCCCTGATGTGCAGTGGAGGTAGCTACAGATTCTCAGTCCCAGCAAGATGTCTGGACTCTGCTTTTCATACTCAGAGCAGGCCTTTGCTCTGGAAAGATGGCGTTACATCACCTGTCATAAGCAAGAAGAATTGCCAGCTATTTCTCTCAGTGTTCCTAATTGTTGTCAGAATGCGACCTAAAATTCTGACACAGAATTTTTCAAAGTCAGGCTTCTACAAGGCACGCGCATCTATCAATGTTTACTCCACACGCACCTAGGCTGCAGCACTTGTGAAGGTCTGTTTTTATTTAATTCTCAAGATTTTGTTGTTAATGGGAAAACTGTCTCATAAATTAGGGAAGTGCTCAATTACCAGTCTGACGGAGATTGATTCTCATTTCGCTGCTGGTCAGTGCTAGCAAGTGAAGGCCGAGGAAACCACAACTCCTGCTAATGTTGGCGCCACTTCAAAGGTGACCATGAACAAGTGTTCATTACCAATTAGGGTAGTGTTTGGCTACAAGCCTGGGAGCTGTTTGTGTTTGATAGCGACCATCTGTATGAGAACTCCCCCATTGTGTACTTACAGACACTCATGGCATAGAACACAACTTCAAATGATTTGCATACTCACTTTGTGAAAATGCACATGTAACAAGGTGTCAGCCATCACATATAAAACAACAAATTGTAAAATCATTGACAACACATCAGTAAGCCATGAAAGTAAATGGCCCCTAAGGAAAGATAATAGAAAACTTGTATTTAAAAATAAACACCAACTTAGGCCTTTAAATATGAGAATTTTTTTTTGCAGTTTTAAACATGGAATTCTTTTTTACTTCATTGTAGGAGAAATCTCTAAAATAAAATTTTATGATAAAGAAACACCTGAGTTCTAATCCTTGGAGGGAAAACTTACTATATTTTAAAGTTGCCTCCTTGGCTTTAAGAAAGTAATCAATTTGAATAAATGTTTTCATTTTCCTTTCATGTTTTATTTATTATTTCTTTACTTATTTCATATTTATTCTTTTTTTTTTTTTCCTGTGTATACCTGGCTGGCCTGAAACTAGCTCCGGGACCACAGTGGCGTCAAACTCAGAGATGTGCCTGCTTCTGCCTCCTGAGTGCTGGGATTAAGGGTATGTGCCACCCCTGTAAGCATTGCAGCTCAGATGGAAAGGTATCCAGGTAGTGGGGAGAAAAGAAATACTACAAAGCCACTGTAAATGTAGCAGTTTACAGCTCTGCTCCAGGGAAAGATTTCCCCAATGCAAGTGTAACAACTCTGTCCCACAGGGGAGCATTTTCCTGTGAAGTTGGTACAGCACTGTTCTGCTCCAGCTCTAGAGAAGTGTTACAGCTCTGTGCTATGGGATGTTCTGCATGTTAAATGTGTTGCTCTGATTGGTTAATAAACAAAACACTGATTGGCCAGAGAAGAGAAGAGAATTCTGGGAACAGGAAGGCTGGGGGCAGAGAGACACTGCCAGCCACCATCATGATAAGTGAGATGTAAGGTACCGGTAAGCCATGAGCCATGTGGCAACTTATAGATTAACAGAAATAGGTTAATTTAAGATATAAGAACAGCTAGCTAGAAGCCTGCCATGGCTATATAGTTTATAAGTAATATATATAAGTAATATAAGTCTCTGTGTGTTTACTTGGTTGGGTCTGAGCAGCTATGGGACTGGTGGGTGAGAGATTTGTCCTGTCTGTGGGCCAGGCAAGACCAAAAAACTCCAGCTACAGCTCTGCCCAGGTCCCTCAGAGTGTAACAAGTCAGCTCATCTAGCGGAAAGTTTACCCAGCAAAAGTGGTACAGCTCTGCTCCACTCTGCCCTGTCTCCTGAAAGTTGTTACAGCTGGGATCCAATCTGGCAAAAGTGTCAGACCCCACACAACAGATCCCACTCAAGAGATTTATTGGGAAGGAAGAGTCCAGGAGGGGAGCTGCCTCTAGTGAGAAGCAGCAGCAAACAGAACAAGGTAATTGGATTTTTTAGGGTGTGGGGGGGGCAGGGGAGTTCTTTCCAGGATGGCTTGCAGTTGGAGGGATTTTGTGCTCAGGGACCTCATGGATTGGTGGGATTCGGCAGCCTGACTCTAGAGTAAGCTCAGAGATTGGTAGGATTTTAAGTCCTGGTCCTGGGGTCAAGTCAGGGTCAGGGTGCTTTTCCTTAGCTCTGGTCTCAGGTCTGGTCAGGGTTAGGGTATATTTTCCTTGTCCCTATATTTTCCTTGCCCTGTAGCCCCTGCCTGGTATTTTCATTTTAAACTACATGGTTTTGGGCAGCATTCAAATGTGTTTTTCACCCAAAGTAATTGGTAAGCCCTATTTTGTATCACAATATTAAAAATAACAAATAAAAGATCACAAGGCAACAATCTGACAGAGTCTGCCTGTGCTTTGATGCCATGAAACCTGTGCCAGGGGCGAGTGTCAGGAAGGAGATCCTTACCTCTTCCAGGCAAGGCAGCTTTGACAGCCAAAGCATTTTGTTGTAGGTCATATACACATGTAACATATGTGTGCATATATATGATATACATATATACTATATACATATATACAATTGAGTGTGTGTGTGCGTATGAAATTTTTGAGGATTCTGATGTCTATTTTTCTATTATTAAAGAACACCAAAAGTGGAGTGTACATGTAACTAAAGATGTGGTCTATATAAATAGCTATTCAATGTTTCTTCTTCATTCTACACTAATTTGAACAAAACTTGGAACTAATCAATTTCATTGTAAAATTTGAAATAAAGTAATAAATACCAAATGATTATCTTTAAATTTATATTTTGTTTTTATTTTTAATGAAACAAAACCAATCATAATGTACTAATTTTAAAAGTTATCATCTAGGAAATGAAAGGGAAGAAGAAGGGAGGAAAGAATTGAGGATGGGAAAAAAGTAGCCACCTTTATCTTTGTATTTATGCATGTTAGTTATCTCATTTGGGATTAATGCCCCTTTTGCCAGAGAATCAGCATGTTCAAACTATGTGATAATATTTTGTAATAAAACAGTTGAAAGTGGGATGTAATAAAGGAACGCATGATTAACTGATAATTGAAACTACATTAAATCTTGATAGACCTTAATAGGTGTCTAAATACATTAGAAAAGTTTCTAGTTAGTTGTTGTTTATTTTGAATTTTGTATCTGAGTAGTTCAGTAGCACACATTGATCTCAATGGGTGGAAAGTGCAATGGCACAGAGTCAGATGGATATGGAGGGAGTGGATCTGAGAAGAGCTGGAGGAGGTTGTGAATGTGATTAATACATGCTTTACAAAATTCTCAAATAATTAATAAAATTACTTTTAAATGAGGAAACTCAACTTCTTCTTGGTGGTGCTCTGACTGCTGTTTTCACTCTGAGGGTTCTTCCTTGGTGTGGGCTGTGTCGCCTGGTGCTGGTCTACTTGTGTGCAACAGAAACAGACAAACTTGGCACTGTTCCTCTGGACAGGAAGTCCACTATTCACGCTTTCCCGTGAAAAGGGATTAAAATTCCCTTTGTTAGGAGCAAAGGTAAGAGGAAATGAGACCACAACACTGCGGCATTTAAAACTGCTCTCTTTCACAGTAGCACTACAGGGCCCCAGTGTTCCCCTTAGCTTGGCTTTGTTCAAGTCTCTCTACTGTCATTGTGGCAGATCGTGACTGCAGCAGCATTTTATACTCAGCCCTCATGGAACATCAGGTTTGTGAGAGCTGAGGATGAATATCACCAGTTTTTAAAATTACTGTTCGTTAAAAACCTCAGACAAATAACAGGAAGTCATGCTTTATAGCAGGATAATACAAAGAAGCTTTACTTGTAAGTGTTATATACAAGAAGAGATCTTCCAAATGGCAAAGTTGAAAGTGGCCTTTCATTGGAAAATAACATTGTCATGTTTTTGTTGTTTTTGTTTTTAATCATTGCTTTCAGTGGAAAAAGTAGTGTTTTATCTATAAGACATATATAACTTTCTAGTAACTCATGAGGTAGTAGCATTAGAATGGAATTATATTTCAGTTTAATTTAATAAATATGTTTACCTGAAGCAGTGAACAGTTATATATTATGGTGATATTTTATTTGTACTGAAATGTGATTTTAATTGTATGTTAATAAATAAACTTGCCCGGGGGTCAGAGCTATTAGAGCCATAGTGAAAGCTGGGCGGTGGTGGTGCACGCCTTTAATCCCAGCACTTAGTAGGCAGAGCTAGGAGATCTCTGTGTGTTCAAGGATACAGCCAGCATTGGAGACACATGCCTTTAATCTCAATACCAACCGTAGAAGACCTGGAGGTCTGTACAGACAGGCAGTGACGAGGTAGTCATGTGGTTGGCTTTACAACCAATGAGAAGACAGAACAGAAAGTCTATATAAAGATAAACAGACAGGAAATAGGTCTCTTTTGGAGAGATCTCTTGGCTGAAGAGGCCAGCTGCAGCAGACGGGTAAGGCTCTTAGCTCTGATCTCTTGGCTTTCTTTTTTGCATTGGTTCTGTGTTTCTTATTTAATAAGATGGTTGGTTACATTTACAATATATGGTTGCACCAGCAATGGAAGCCAGGTCTTTGTAATTATAACATCCATTCTCTTTAATCATTCTGCTATGCTCTTTGTCACTTAAATCACTGGCAAGAATTGAGATGGGTATAATGTGAGAGCAGCCTGAGCCATACACACCACTCTATTTGAAAGATGACTTTATACTCCAGATATTTTTATTAATACCAAACCAATACTCTTAATTTTTAATTAATTTTTCCTGAATGCTGTATCAGTAGCTTTCAAAAAGCATCCTTAACTGTGCAAGAAATTGGATGAAAGTACATTAAATGATACATTTCTTGAGGAGATATAGATTTTGGACATTGTATAATAAAATGTTATATGGTTTGCCATAAACGTGAACAGTTTATATATATGATTTTGTTATCTTAAACATTTTGTTTTGGGTTGCCATTTTGGGGATGTCCTAAGTCAATAATCATTTTTTAAGGGCCTTGCCCTATTAACGCTTCTTTCTACCCTACTTGAATTGAGTCTGTCTCCATCATTTTGTTGTTGTTGTTGTTTTCTTTTTAACTTCAAATTTGTATATTTGATTTGTTTTACTTAATAATAAATGGATATCTGTGGGATGACTCATCCCTAACAGGCTTGAGGGCCAGCTGGCCCAAACCAGTAAAAAAGATACTTTCTGAGAGCCAACCTGGGTCTGCCTAAGGGCCTTAGCAACAGCAGCTGAGACATGATCTGGAGATGACCTGGACCAATGAGAGGCAGCCATGTCACACCAGCAGATACATATTCATCAGACCTTTTCCCAGGGTAGGGTGGAGGGTATATAAGGCTTGCCTCCTTCTGAATAAACTGACCTTGTTGTTTTGACATTCTCCCAGAGTCTGTGTGGTTTGACTCTGTGCCTACTTGGTCCCCTCCCCCAAATGGAACAACAGCACAGGACCCTGCCACATCTGATGCCGAAACCCAGCGCTGTTTCTCTCCCTTTCTTGATGCACAGCGCTGGTGGAGCAGCGCCCTTGAACAGTCAATTTCAGTGAGTAGGCCCCTCTACCTTGTGTGCTTTCAGTCCCTTTGGCAGATTTCTTTTTGTTTGTCTTGTTTGTGAGTCTGTCTGTATGGTAGGGTGGCACATGCTTTTGTTCAGGCTTGCCTGGTGTTTCCATATACGGGCTGGAACCTCAGGAAACAGAGCCACAGTCACTGTTGTTTATCCCACCTTCTAACACTATGGGAAATTTCCTCCTTCACCATAAAGAGGCCCCTATTGGAGCCCTTAAGTCCCTCCTAACCAGCCAGGGGCTCTGTGCTACAACATCAGAACTAGAAAGGTTTTGGGTGGAGAACATGTGGGAACCTGGTCTTTGGATGAGAGTTCTGTTCCTAGTCAGAAAAAGGGAAGTGGCCTCAGGAGTAACTATCCAATTGTTTTTTATGCCTATTTTGTTGGCTGTAATTGCTGGCCTAAAGTCCTCCCCTACTGAAGAGGTCATTAAGGCCCACAATAAGCACTGCCAGGAACAATGTATCACCAACTTATCTATCACCTTCATTCTGTCCATATTTCCTCCACCTCTGCTGACAAGGAGACAGATAAGAATAGGCATAAAGTAAAGGAAAAGGATGGAAATGATTACAGCAGCATCTAAGCCTACACTGGCAGGACCCCTCTCTGCTCCTCCCATGCCTCAAGAAGCTACTCCTCTGCTGCAGTATCCATGGAGTGATTTGCCTAGTTGTCTGCCCACTGAGCCAGCTGCTCCACATATCTCCCAGCCTATTCTACCTGTGGTGCCGCACGTGTCCACCATGGTGTTTCCAGTTAATGTAGGCCCTAATGTGGCCAACCACCCATGGATACCTACCCCTCTTGCAGACCTATCTTTGGTATGTAAGGCTGCTAATGAATCAGGTCCTGACTCACTGTATTTTGAGCATGTCCTAAGATAATGAATGAATGGGTAATGCATTTATAGACTTATTATGACTGGTACCACTTGTTGAAGGCTATGTATGAGTCTTTTGCCTTCTTTAACTGGTGCTCTGCCTATGATGACCAGGCCAAGGCTCATGCTTGTTTTAATATACAGTACAATATTGCTGTTTCTCTTGAGATGCTCATGGGCCAAGGACCATATGTTTAACCCTGTCACACAAGCCCAAATTGAACAACATGTTTATTTTCTCGCTTCAGGAGACTCCATTGCCCTTGTTGTGTTGGAGGGATCCCATCACCCTTCAATGGCAAACCCCTGCTCCCCTTTTAACCTGGGGATGAAGGTATGCTTGCATTTTCTCCAGAATACCACCACACTAATATGGATACCCTCCAGAGATGTGCTTCTGGCAGCATACCAAGAGAATTTGACAAAAGAAGAAGCTTCAGAAGGGTAATGTATGATTTGCTCTGCTACTGAGGCATTAATAAAGGTCATGTCATTACTGGCATGCAGCCCTAGATATCAAGCTATTGCCTCACCCCCTACAAGGTCACTAATGCATCACTTCGATTGACACAATAAATATGACTAGGGTCCCATCCATGTCCTTGAGATTAAATTTTTGACTAATCCTTCTCTTGTTCAAATATCTTCTGCAACAGGTTCACCAACAGAAGGTGGCCAAGGAGGCAACCCTACAGGTCTTATTTGCTCTCAGACACCTAGATCAAAGTCCTCCTAGAGAGACAATGGATGCATAGCTCACTGAGATACAGAAGGTTACTGTCTAAAGCCCACCACCTGGACAGCTCTCCAGTATTGATGCTCTTTAAGGGCTGGTAGTCAATGATGGATCTGAGCTTGTTTGGCAAGCCCACCTAAGCCAGGCACAGTCCATTATGCTGAGCTCTGCTGAGGTGGAGTCAACAAGGTTAGGACAATGCACCCTAGCTTCCACTGAGCATGTCCCATGAAATAATGAAAAGCAGTGAATATGTGGGATGACTCATTCCTAACAGGCTTGAGGACCAGTTGGCCCAAACCAGTAAAAAGTTACTTTCTGAGAACCAACCTGGGTCTGCCTAAGGGCCTTAGCAACAGCAGCTGAAACATGATCCAGAGATGACCTGGACCAATGAGAGGCAGCCATATCACTCCAGCAGATGCATATTCATCAGACCTTTCCCCAGGGTAGGGTGGAGGGTATATAAGGCTTGCCTCCTTCTGAGTAAACTGAGCTTGTTGTTTTGACATTCTCCCAGAGTCTGTGTGGTTTGACTCTGTGCCTACTTGGTCCCTTCCCCCAAAGGGAACAACAGCACAGAACCCTGCCACAGATATGAGCTAGACAGTTTGTCAAGTTGGAAATGGATAATAAGAAGTCTTGCACTTTTGTTTGCTGTCCTGCACTTCTGGATATGCCTCATCACCTATTGGCCTCAGGAGGATGCAGAATAATGCTGTAAACCTTCTGAAAATCCATGGCAGCTGTAACCTAGAGATGGCCCATCAATATACAAATGGTTATCTCTAACTATTACTGTAAACCACTGAGTGTGATTACAGGTTGTTGTGCAATAAGTATTTGTGACTAACTTATTGTGTGCCAAGAAAGTAGTACACTTTGTATATACTATTTTATACAATTAGTATAATTATAATTAGTATAATATACAATTAGTGAATTAGTAGTACACTTTGTATATACTATTTTCAGTAAACAAAATCAAAATAACATGCCACTCATCATGATTACTTTGCTGTTAGAATGGATTGATTCCTAATATTGCTGAAGTTTATTGAAGTCATCAAACATAAAGAGTTTATGATTGTTAAAAAAAAACTTTTTGGTGGGATTTAATATAGCACTTTGAATTTGAAAGGCATCAGGTAAAACTGGCTGATCTCCTAGCAGACTAAGGTGAGTGACAGGAAAGGGGTACTCTGATGGATTAGTCTGTTAACATACAACATTCTATAAGAAAGATGCTCTGTGACTAAATCAAATATGTTCCCTTTATAAGACACAAATATTCTGAAAATATAGGGTCCAAAAGAAACTTATCAGATTTATCACCCTCAGTATTTTCTAAGTATAGAATCAAGCTAATTCAGAAATTCAGTGTTAACACTCAAGAATTCACCTTTAAGTTCTTAGATGCTCAGTCAATGACATGTGGCTAGTGGCTGCTGAATTACAGAATAGTCTCATTATTCCAAGATGTCCTACTAGACAATGCTGTATAACAATAACAGAACTAAGGAAGAGACTTATAAAACCTGGGAAATACAACATATACAAGACTAAAAAAAACACAATTTGATGTTTGATGTGATTAGTGGTTTTAATCTCAGTACACTTCAGCATATTCCTGTATAGGAAAATGTAGGAATTGTATTATAGATATATCCATTGGAACTGGGCTCTACACAACTCTTTAGTTTGATTGGTTGTGGTTTTCTGTAATGATCTCATTCTGTTTTATAAAATAGGTTTCTTTGATGGAATCATTGCAAAAGAGGGAGCAGAAGGATTTTAAAAGCCAGAGAATTGGGGAGCTTGCTCTATTATGTGTCTAGTAATGTCATAAGCTACACCTATAAAGTCTCACCAGCATGACTGCCTAAAGGTGAGCTGAACAAGGACAAAAATAGGCATGTTCCATGGTGGATGGGGAATGTCAACAGGGCCTCAACACTTCACAAGAACTACAGGCAACTAAGTAATGCTGAGAATGGGATAGACTTCCCCAGGGAAAGCACACCAATGGGATGTGCTATACTTAGTGCTCAGTATTAAAAATAAACATAAAGGTAATACATAGATAGGGAAAGTTATACTTATAAATTTAAGATTTTATATATATGCATATATGTATATAACTACAAGTAATACATAAATGAGGTCATGACTTTCAAAGAGATTAAGGATGTATATGGGAGGGTTGGAAAGGAAGAAAGGGAAGGGAGAAATGATGTAATAATATTATGACCTCACAAAATAAAATGAACAATTTAAGAATATATTCAACACTTAAAAACACAGAGACTGTGGTATGTACACACAATGGAGTATTACTCAGCCATAAAAAAGAAGGAAACTATGGCATTTGGTGAAAAATAGAGAGAACTGGGTAGTATGTAGTGAGATAGAAACCAGACAGAAGACAGATACAGCATGGATTCTCTTATAAATGGTATGTGTATTTAGGAACAAAAGTAACAAAATGACATGAAACTACAAGATACATTGCTCAGTAAGAGGAAGGTGACTAGCAGGAGAGGAAAAGGGGAACAAAATAGGGTAACTTGGGTGAATGTAAACAAATTATAATACATCCATGAATGCAAATATAATGAAATCTTACTGTGTCATTAACATACACTAATAAAAAGAGAGAAAAATGAATAATGCCTACAACTTCAGATTCAAAGATATTAAGAGAATGTTAAGCTAAACTGCATACTGATAACTTGACTCACATAAGGTAAATAGACAGATTATAGGTGTGCATTGTTAGCTGATTGTGTCCATGAGTTGCATATTAATAGATTCAAACAAGTGGTGACCGAAAATATTCCAGAAGTAACTATTGTGAAAGTATTGAGTATATAGATATGTTTTTATCACTATTTCCTAAACAGTATGGCATAATAATATTTAAATTGCATTCATGTTAGGCATGAGTTATCAATGGATTAGTTATGACACCCAGGAAGAACTATACAAGTTATATTTAAATAATGTGTTGCTTATTCATAAGAGTTTGGTATCTGGAGATTTAGGTATCTGGCTGGGTTCTGGAACCAATCTCTTTATATAGACACTGAACTAGAACTGTAAACATATATTTCAGAAACTTAAAATTTATACCATGAAATCAAAGTTGTTTTAACATTAGAAATATCTATTAATACATTTTTCTCACTAATGAGAAAAGCAAAAGACAAAGATGACTATCCTAAAGTACAAAAGAAATCATTAAACAAAGTAGCCCACACATGTGTCCTAAGAGATAAATGAGATCTTAGCAATGTCTAGTCAGAGATGGTAAGTGAATGTTTCACACACCAATAAAGAAGGACAATAGAATAAAAGTGCTTTACTAATATATGTCAAAGGTAAGTAACGGAGGAAAATCATGAATAGAATACTATAAGATTTGAAAAATACTTTACATAGAACATGTAACAATTACATAAACTGAGAGGTCATGTAATTTTTTGTAGATAGGGAAATACACTACTATTAAAATATCATTAATGCAAAAGCTGATGGAAGAATTTATACATCCATGCCAGGAAAAAAATCCCAAGAGTTTTGAGTTTTTATACAGACTATGTCATCTGCGGTGCTGATTCAAGCAAGCAAAGCAAAGGGCTAGGATAGGTAATGCCAGACTTCAAAAGACAGCTGTAAGGAGGACATGTGCTACCCAACTTAAGAATGACATCAAATTATGAAGCTGTAATATTATACATGTGATAGAAAAAATTGAAATTAATTATAGTTATTTTTCAAGAATAGAAAAGTAGACAAAGAAATCAATATTGATATTGTAGAAATAAATTCATTCATGTATTACCTCCTGCTTTACTACAGACATAGCTGTTCAATATGGTAAAGATATCTGTTTTCTGCAAATGGTATTGTTTACAAAATTATTTCTATGAAAAACAAACAAGCTTGACCTATTCAACCATGCAGAAATTGTAGAATATGGTGTAAAAATAAAAACAATAAGGTTTCCAAATGAAAAGATAAGAGTGTAACTTATAACTTTAAGTAGGGCAATAACTTAGTAAATAGATGATTATTAAAATTAGGAAGTTTTCATTCTCAAGCACCATTAGAAGCAGGAAAGGTGAATCATGATGTAAGAGAATTTATTTGTAATTCTTATTTCACAAAGGCAGTGTTCAGAATTTATACTGAACACTAATGTCTCAATCATTAAAGAAGCAGAAAAAACAATAGAAAAGTCAAAATATTTGAAAGCACCTTTACAAAAGATTCTGACATTGGTTTTAAAGAGACACAAATTAAAAGCATAATGAAATAGAGCATAAAACTTCCTGACAGACTGGTTGAAATGAAAATAAGCAAAGTATAAATATTGGTAATAAAGATACAGAGCAGCTGTGGTAGGGAAAATTTAGTGTGACTGTTTTGGAGAATTTACAAGTTTCTGTTAAAGCTGAATGTATGTCCACATTTTGATATTTTCTTAGTTATATATCCAAGAGAAATGGGTACATAACACCCAAAATATATAGGATAGTGTTGATAACAGCACTAATTGCAATAACCAAGAAATGTTAGCAAATATAATACTAAATTCTTCATCCATACCGATGAAGGATTTGATGGTAGAGACAGGAATGTGGTCAAGCTTGCCGGCGCAGTGCCTATTTCACAGGAATGAGGATGAGAAATGAATCCCAGGTACCCAAGTAAAAGTGTGGTACAGTGGGTACTAAGTGTGAACTGCGAGCTGTGAGAACATGAACAGATGGATCCCTGGAGAACACTGGCCAACTATATTAGTCTCATAATGGATGGACTCCAGGTTCAGTGGAAAGACCCTGTCTCAAGAATAATGTAAAAAATATATCTGAAGAAGACATCCTATGTTTACTTCCGGTCAACATATTTATATACTCACATATACACTCAATTGTATGCATATATGCACTCACACACAGAGAACTTTTCAAAATTGAGAGTATATCAGCTTTGTAGACTGCAAAAGAGCAAGTTACAGCAGGAACATGGATGAGATTTGTATTTAACATTTACGAGAAAATCTACACATACACACACACACACACACTCTCACACTCACACACGTTTTGCATGACCTATTACATTTGTATGATGTTAAAAGAATAAATGCTATTTATTATGATAGAAGTCAGGTTAGTGATTGCCGTCTGGGGAAGAGCTTAGCCATATGGAGGAAGAGAGCATCCTGACTCTGGGCTGGGAACCTCTCTCCTGTAGCTTAGTCTCTTCCCTCCCTTTCTCTCTCTGTCCACATTCATCGTCACTTAGTGCCCCCCCCCACCATCTCCCTCTCTGCTACAACCAGGTTTGTTCCTCACGACTGCACTGAAAATCTTCCCATTTATTACTTGCATCACTAATGAGCCTGTTTCAAATTAAGTGGCTATTTAAATATTGAAACACTTGTAACGACTTTGCCACATTTCGTATTATTTCCTTCTTCAGTTACCACATGTTTTGGAACTTAGGTCACAATCTCTGTTTCCACATACTCTTATATATTCTCATAAAGAGTTGACCATTGGGGAAGGAAGGGAAGCTTTGGTTAGGATATAGAAACAAAACAAATTCTAAAAAAAAAAAAAAAATGTTCTTTTAAACTAAAGGATCTGACCGTTTATTCTTAATAACATATAGATCATCTTGCATGCATACCCCCTGGCCAGTGGGATTACAACAAAACATTTTCTCTGATTGAATGGATGGGATGATGGAATCTATATTAGCTCTGAACTAGCTTTGGTGTAATGAAGACGACTTTACAAAAGAAAAACCCATATTTGTCTCAACCCCCCCTCTCTCTAGTTGAGGCTTCTGCATGCTACTCAGTCTACACAGCTCTTTCTTGCCATAGTTTGCCCAAAATAAGAACAAGAAGAATCCTACTCATTGTAACAACACAATTCAACAATGGATTTCAATATAATTTCAGGTCTTAGGAGCCTGGAAATAGAGGTCTCTTTCAGCAACTGTCCTCTATTCTGCATTACAAAGTTGACATTGCAGTACACTTGTTTTCACATTTGACTCTAACCTAAGCAATGACCTGCAAAAACAGGAATGTGTCTTTTCATCATTGTAAACCTTTCACTTTATACACAATGCTTCATGCAAAAACAAGTTAAACTTTATAGAAGAACTTAACATCTCCTATAGCAAATGAAGACCATTAGGCTATAGAAAAAAAATATAATGTTCTAAATGACACTGGAATTTCTAAATTTAGAAAAACTAAAATATCTAGTTTTTTTTTTTAATTAAAAGAATTACAATGTGCAGAGTAAGAGACCTTGAAACACTCAGTTCTAAATGAGATGTCTCCATCAAACTCCCTTGGAGAACTTGCAGAAGAGGAGGCCAAAGGATTGTAAGAACCAGCAGGGATGGAAGGCACCTAGGAAACAAGCCCTTCTAGACACAACAGGACTCATGTACATATGAAGTCACAGAAACTGTGGTAGCACAGACAGGGCAAGAACATTTCTAAGTAGATGGGGTCCAGTGAAAACAAGAGAAAATGGACAGAAGTCTCCATCCAGAACCAAAAAGCTATCTCTAATTGATAACATCTCACAAAAGAAATACTAGCTTTCTTCAACCTAATTGTGCTGAGTATACAAAGCACTCTTAAGGGCAAGCCCCATGCCCAGTAGTAGACGGACATCACAAAATACTCAATGGTATTTTGGGAGTTTTTTGATCACAATGCTTTGTCTGGGCTTTTTTTCCCTTACAGATCTTTGCTGATATATTATAGTTTGAAATTTTGCTTTTGTGGGTTTTCTGTGCATGTGATTGTGTGTGTCTCAGGGATTGTGTTTCTTAATGCCTTTCTTTTTGGCTATTTTTATGTTTGTTTGTTTTTCCCATTCTGGTTTCTTTATCTATTATTGTTACTATTTTAATTATTATATTCCTGTTGCATTCTAATGACAGAGAGGGAGAAAGTGTATGTATTGGGTGGGGAGTATTAAGTAGGCAGTATCCAGGAAGAATTGGGGACTGGATCCATAATGAGAATATATTGCATGAAAAATTATTTTTAATAAAAACAATTAGTCAAAGGTGAATGTGGTAGGTCAGTGCTAGAATCCAAGTATTTTAGAGGCAGAGGCAAGAGGATCTCCACTGAGGCCAGCCAGGGCTAAATGTGAGCCTCTGCCTCTAAAATAAACAAAACAACATAACAGAAACAAGAGCTAAATTGCATCTTACAGATTAAGCAAACAACCTAAAATAACCACAACTTCATGTGTGTTAGAGGATGTTTGCTGACTAACATCAGCCAGCGAGACAAGTGAATCACAAAGGAAGTACTGAGAGCTTTGAATTTATGAACTTGTACTCTAAAATAATCTGTTGTAAGTATCAAAGTTGAGGAAGATCATCTCCCTAAAACAGTAATAAACTCCTAAGTAAAATTTGCTAAACTGGAGTGCTTTCTTATATAGAGATTCAGCCTTATACTCAGACATGGCACTTAAACCGTGGCTTAGGAACTGAGATTCTGAAGCTGTTTGGCACTACTGTTAGATGTCCTAATTTTATTTTTACTTATTCAGCAGTTACTATGAACAGGACTCTATATTTAACTTTGAAAACCTTACTGATGGGAATAAAAACTTTGTATGGATACATTTATGGCCCAAAGTGTTATAACAGACACTATAGATGACACACCAAAGTAAATCCCACACTCTCCATGTTTTGGAGCATCTCATCCCATGAGGAGATGAATACAGTGACCCTGAACTAAGACACAGACATCACTTGGATCAACATTTCACAACATCCTTCATCAAAAGTGGAATGTGATGGGTCACATCACCATCAGGTATGGGACACTCTATTAAGAGAGAATGACTACTTAGCTACAGTTTTGAAATAATTTTGCTGACAGGATGAACTCTGAGTAAAACATTTTGTAGAAAATAAACGGCTAAGAAATTTCTTCATTAACAAGCCTTCTCACAGTTAGCAGCATTTCAAAAATATCGATCAAACAAAGACACTTGAAATGTGACTCTCCATTGCCTTTCAATCTTGTATGGTCAGGTAGCTCAGCTGGCCTGTGACCTCAGGAGGCAGCTGATGCTCACGGTCACCACAGTGACTCTTCACTTAGATTGGTTCTTCCCTTGCTACTTATGCTGGGCCATGTGTAGGGTGTCTTTTCTGTGAGAGATGATTATTTTGCTCTCCTTGTCAGGCTCCTGTTAAGCTTCTATTGTCACTTCTTCTTCTTAGATTTAGAGTCCCGAGACCCCTTGAGCAGATGAAGTGCAGCAACTTCCCTGTGACAGTTCTGCACTCTGAGAAGTGCTGGCGGATGCAGCAGGCCACAGATGGAGAGGGCTTTTGAAAAGTCCTGTCTCGCCTCTTTTACAGCAACTCTCCCCATCTTTCTCCTCTCAGGGTCGAAATCTGTCTGCTTTGAGGAAAAGCAAAGTTTGCCTAGAATGATACTTTCTCTGAAAGACATAGAAAGCAGAGAGGAAGAAAATAAGAGCGAGGACTAGTTCCTTTTGTCCGGCACAGAAACAAAAGGAGTCCTGTTTCTTTGAGAGAAAATGGACATTTTTCTCTAAATAAACATTTTACTTTTACTTCAAAGTATCACAACTATGAATATTGTTATAATTAGACAACCTCTTTGCTCTCCACAATAACACCATGCACTCTCACAAGGGATTTCTATTGTTCAATTTTAAGCAAACATCTTCTAAAAAATATTCAGTAAACTATCATTGAACATTGGTTTAATGTTTCTTTATAAATGATGAAAAATTGAGAGTACACAATGTTGTGGGCAACACAATAAATATGGAACAATAAGCTCTTTCTGGTTTAAAAAATAGCTATGGTTGTCAGTGCATCTCTGGGGGGCATGTCTGTGCATCTAGTTAGAACTGCTCTCTACATCCCTGAAAATGCTTGAATTTATCCTTTTCTAGCTCCTCCATGTCTGCTTCTTCTCCCTCCCATCCATTCCACCAAAGGCCTAGGAAATCCTCCAGGATACTGCATCTTTCTCAGGCAAAGGCCCTTGGTTCATGCTATGGCCACCTCAGACTGTCTGTATCATAGCTACCTTGGAGCTTTCTACTAGGAATGTTTCTACTCAAAACGCTTTATACTTGTCATTTTAAAATATATTTATTTCTTTATCTAATAAACTATATTTGAAATGAATAATGACTATATATGGTATGACATAGTATCTTTCTTCATACTTGACTTTTTTAAATTTTTTTTCCTGAAATAATGAGCAATAGTTTGAATTAAATTGATAGAATTGAAGTGAAATACTTTGAGTTCTGGAAATGACAAAAATAGCATTTTTGAATGAATTAGTGTTACTTTCCTGCCTTGTTTTAGTCTAGTTTTATTCATTTTAGCAAATCATTTAAGCCAAGGAAAGGCTTAGTACGTGACCATAGGGGCCTAATCTATGTTATGGAAAAGCTGGGATATAGAGGTTGATACTGTAAAGGCAAACACTGATGGTTTCCAATAAGGGAGTATGAGAAGAAAGTATTGGTCTTCTTGAAACCAGGAACAGAGGGATTTGAAGGGAAACAATGTAGAGCTTGAGGTTGTTAGGGCCTCCCAGGAAGTCCATGTTGGAATTCAGTGCAGACACTGAATAGAGAATCTAGAGAGCTGTGCAAAGAGACAATGTTCTCACAGTTTTTACATTAAAGTGAAATTTGAAATGTTAACAATTGTTTAAAAGTGCAAAAGACATCCAATAAGGAGTGAGAATCATAGTGGGAAAAGTGGAAGGGGATGATGGAAAAGCCCATACAGGAAGAGAATTTAGAAAGTACAGACTTACAAAACAACTAAGAAACGTCAGTGAGAAGAGATCTCATCCTATTTTGAGGCGATTGGCGCTGAGAGAAAACAATGAAGAGAAACGTTTAAATACTTCACGACTATAGAACAGATTTGAGTGAAGTGAATACATGTGAAAGCTGGAGGAGGTAAGTGTTAAAGAAGTTTTTCAGATACTATCATGAATTTAATCTTCACAAATTAAAGGCATTTCTTAAAAAGGAATGATTTGTCTTTAATAGAAAAGATACTAAGAAAAAACAAGATAAATATCTGAAAATATTTTATACCTAGGGACTAGGTTCAAAGTTGACACTCACCCAATTTTTCAATGCAGTAGGAGGTAATAGCAACTGTTCAAACTTGGATATAGTATAACTTTTGGGGCTTGAGTAAGGGGGTTGTGATATCAGCCTGGCACACAAAAATGATACTGAGGGACTGGGTAGATAAATCAGCAGTTGAGAGCATTTATTCATTTTCAAAAGACCAGAGCTTATATCCAGAATCCATTATAAGTGGTTCACACCTGCCTATAACTCTCATGTTAGGGAATCTACTACCTTTTCTGGCCACCATGGCCACCACAAACACATGGTGCATATAAACTCTTGTGCATACACACATATAAACATACATAAATTTAAAATAAGTGAAGAATGAAAATCAGATTAAATAAAAAAATTCCAGTTTTTGTTTTCTACTAAGATAGGCTACCATGAATTGACAGAAACTATCTTACATACTTTACTTTTAACAAAGATGAGGATAAGCAGAATATATGCAATTCTGTCCCCACATGCCAGCAGCAGGTTAAGGCAGAAAAGCAAACAGAATATGGGACATTGTAGGCAAGGAGTAATGCTAGCTAAGCTGTGATGATTAATCCAGAGGTGAACTTCCCTGGATCTGGGGTCAGCTATGAGACAAGTCTCTGAGGACACAGTTAATTGATCTGGGACAACTTAATATGGATTGTCCATCCCAGATGCAAGTCCAGATATAAGGGGTGAAGAGGAAAAATCTTTTGCTTTTTCCCGGCTTGCCTTCACATCATGTTGGTTACTTAAGCTTTTTTGCTTGCATCTTGCTGGTGAGGCCATCTATCCTATTGGCAATGTTGTTACTATGGCTGCATTCTTTTATGACATTAGAACTAAGCTGCTTCTGCTTTCCCACACAGAAAGAAGAAAAGTGGCTCTCAAACAATCACCCCCAGGTCTTCATCTTTATATTTGGACTTAATCCAGTCTCATAGACTAAGCAGTTACCAAGTTCTCAGTCTGTGTATTATGAAGAGAAGCGTTATTAGGCTACTCAAAGTGCATCATGTTACCCAATGTAACAAACTTCTTTTCAATACATTTGTTCTTTTGGTTTGTTCTTCTATAAAACTCTTACTAACACACTAAGTGAATGAGGAGAGTCAATATTTTCAAAATCATAATGCAAAATTTCATAGAAATTATTAAGATACTTCTGAATTCAGTAACAAATTTTCAAATATTTCTTTCTAATGTAAAGTTTAAATGACTATGATCATAACCACATTATATATATATATATATGCATATATATGCATATACATGTGTGTGTGTGTGTGTGTGTGTGTGTGTGTGTGTGTGTGTCAATCCTGAATTCTGAAAGGTCAACTTAGAAATTTTCCAGAATTTCGTCTAAGAGACAAAGCTAGGAAATAAGGGGACTGTGGGTGGATACACAACTCCTGAGTGCTGGATGGAAACAAATGGGTGGTAGATAACGAATATGATGATAGCTGGCAGTTCTATCAAAGGCAGAGCAGTCAGATCATTGTTCAAAATTTCACCCTGTAGTGCTTTAGATGAAGAGCAAAGCAAAGAAACTCAGTAGACAGACATTCTTAGGCCACAGTGGAAAACTAAATCACAAGGGATAATCCACCTCCTGATGACAAGCCTTATGTGTGACTAGGAGTGAGCAAAACAGTGTCCATCCTAGCAAATATTTTGTGTACATGAAAACAAGGTGGGTAGCATAAGAGATCTGAGGAAGTCAGTATAAGATTAATTATGATAAACTATTTTAACTGTATCTGAAGAAAAGAAAGGACCTGAAAGAATTGGTCATATGGAAGAATCAGGAGACATGGCTTGGTGGGTCTTGCATGAAGATTTTTTTTATGCTGGATGAGCTTTTATTCAAAGAAAAAAATAATGTTTCTGTTTGGAGAGTAGGGCATTAGTTGGAGAAATTTTGGAAATGGAATAAACTGGATGCTTTTGTGAGAAATGGATGAAAAAGTCACAGGAATAAAAACATGTGCTGATGAGATAGGTGCATCTCAGAAAAGTATATGAGTCTAGGAGTTCTCACAGATCTCTTAAACGGTCATAATAGTTAAAGCAAGCGAAACATCTGCTGGTGAGGTGTCTTCAGTCTTTGTTGTGAGATGTTAAGAGTTCAGCTTCATTAACTTCAGCATTTATTTCTTGGCAAAACATTCATAAAAGTAAGGTAAAAGGGAAGTATTTAAAATTCTTATTATGTATATGATGATTTCCCAGCAGGCTGACTCTAACGACTTGGGCTGGCACATCCAGTGTGTGAAGGGTCCTGGCAATAAAGTCCCCAATTCTGTACCACCCGAGAAATGGCTCACCTACTGTGAAGTAATAGGATGATAATGAATGCTGCTCCAGCTGCTTGATGGCTGGATAAGCAGAGGTGGAGCTGTACTTTTGAGGGGCCCAGTGAAAGAAGGGGCAGTAGAGTGGGAAAGCAAGAGAGAGATAATTCTTGGAAATCATCAGTAGGAGTGAAATTAGTTGTATATTAATCTAGCACTGGGTGTTGGTACATTCCATTCCAGCATGGTACAATAAATCAAATTTTGATTAAGCTTAGGAAAGCTTAGCTTTTTACAGATCCATGTTGAGCACTTAGGACCCCTGTGATGCCACGTGACTTTTCTCACCAATGATTCCACTCTCAGCCCATTCTCAGCCCATCTATCTTCTGTAAGTATGTGGGACTGAAAAGATGACCAGAATACTGGCAGACAAAATAGGTTTCAATTTGAGGAAGCTATAATATAAATTTTTTTGGTCAAAATTTGGACTGGATGGCAATATTCAATTATCAATGAGAATGAAGAGGATGGTCCGAAGTAATGAACCTAAAATGAGATATATGAGTAATAACCAAAAACACACCAACTCCATCTTCTGGATGAGGAAAAATAATTAAACAAATAAAACCCAGTAGCAACAACGACAACAAAAGACCCAGACCAATCACACCTGTAGGAAAGGCCTAGACTTGGGAAAGACTTTATTTAACTTAAAGCAGAGAGTTGTTTGAGAAGATCCTGAAAATATGGTCCCACGGGCTGAAGGTCTGCACTAAACAGACACACAGTGAACTCTGTCATTGTAACACTGTTAAGGAGCAGGACTTCTAGGAGGAAATTAGGCCCTGAAAGCTTCTGCAGGGCTAAGAGTGATTTGTTACTACTGAAAGCCAAGCTGAGTTTCCTTCACTTTCTCCTCTCCCTTGTTTTCTCCCATTGGCTAATACAACAAGAAAACCCTCCCACACTCAATTTTAGATGACTGTTTATTGTAAATTAAAATTTCTATTACATTTCTATTAAAGCTCCATAAAACAAACTGATATATGGAAAATTTCATTGATTGAGGACAGAATGTTTTAGACAATCCAGAAGAAATCTAGGTAGCTTAGAAGGTTGACATACAAATGCAGTTTCAAGAGGACCAAACCACTGTGGTCATACTCAAGAGAACAATTGCTGTACTCAGTTGCGCAAGAGGTACCTGAACAAAAATAACAATGACAACAACAATAATTCAGGGGACAAAGCAGGCAAAGAAAAACCACTGGATTCCATATAAACAAAGAATTAGAAGTAGAGTCTGATGTCTCCAATGTTTGAGACATAAAGGTTAATAAGGGCTGGAGAGATGGCTCAGCCGTTAAAGGCTAGGCTCACAACCAAAAATATAGAGGTTAATAAATGATGACCTTGAAATAAAGAATCCAAATACCTTTTCCAGTGTGATTCTACTTTCCAGGACAGTGGTTTGTCTAACCATTTTACATATTATTTCTTCAGATGGCTTTTAATCACAATTAGTGAAAACTTAGTTGGAAATGTTATGACTTAGTCTTTCAGGAAAGACTGTTTGAGAGATGATACTAGCAGATGATAGAGGACTTAATATACAACTAAGAGCCAGGAACAGGAAATAATAAAGGAATTAAGGTAATGATAGTCATATGTGGTCATAACTGTGTATGTGTGTGGAAGGAAGCATGTGGGCTGTGTGTGTGTGTGTGTGTGTGTGTGTGTGTGTGTGTGTGTGTGTGAATTTGCATAAACGTGTGGCTATGCTTGTGGAATCCAAGAGGATACCTTGGTGTCATCTTTATGAACATCATTCACCTCCTTTGATACATGTTCTCTCTGATTGCCTCAAGCTCACCAATTAAGCTAAACTTTATGCCAAGTATGCTTCAGGGATCCATCCTGCCACTGTTTCTCCAGAGCTCAGAAAGTGAGTAAGTCATGATGCCCAGCATTTCATTCCAGCCCCAAATTGTCTACTAATTATTAATACACAGTCACTCAAAAATGTGTAGGCCAGACATCCCCTGCTACACACACTTTGCCTTTCAGTCTTCTAACCTGGGATATAGTAATTAGGTTCCCCATCTGAAATTTGGAATGAGAATTGACATAAGGGATAACAAAACTTTTGGGTCTGGTTTTCCAAAGAAAGAGAAAATGTCAGCTTTGTGCCCACAAGGAGGTCATGTATAATCATGTCTCAGATGGAAGTGTAGTGTGCATTTGCCCAAATGTCTTAATGCCTGTCCTAATGTTGAAATGAGATGAGCCACATTATTGGAGATTTAGGAATTCTTTTGGCTGGAAACCAATTTAAAGAATCATACAGAGATGTAAATCATAACCAGATTGGACAGGGATGACAATAGTGATTCCAACAGCATAGAATCTCTAAAGTCATCTATGATTACGCTAAGCCAGACATCACAGAGGCAAATATAAACATCTACTGAAAACTTCATCCAAGCATCCCCATTATGGGACCTATCGTCTCTTCTCACCTCATGGTGATTCTGTCTGTAGCTGTCTTCAAAAATAAAAATAAGCTCCAGAAGTTCATACATTGTATTTAGCTTCTTTGATTTCAAGATTTATTTATTTATTCCTATATAAGTATATTATTTGATATATTGATGATTCCTTTTGGAAAAGCAAACTGGTTCTTAGAACACAATACCATCTCTTTATTATTTCAAAATTTCTAATTTCTTTACTTTCCCCCTCATTACAAAATATTAAAGAGCTAAAACAAATATAGAAGCAAAAACTACTCTCTCAATCGATTTTCTTTAATCAAAATAAAACTAGCATGGTACCTTTAGTTTTTAAGTACAGCCATTAGATTGAACCTGAAGGAATTGTTAAAATTGAATAATTTTTACAGCACTATTACTATTTTACATATTTAACAGTAAAACAAAAAAATTGACTAGAAATTTAACTAAAAATCACAACTTACATTTATTATTGTTCTGTTTTCTCGGCTAGTGGCAAGATGTGGAGCTATATGAAGAAACATGAAGAAAAAGATGGAGACAGGGTCTTTGGCACTGGAGTCTGCCTGTTCACATATAATTCTCCATGGGGATGATAGTATAGATATCATAGACAAGATTTCCTCCTCACAGACATTCCTAAACCAGTAGGATGATGAAGTATATACATCTCAGTGTAAACAAATGGATGAAAGCAACATATAATTTGATAAAAACGAGTTCTAGAAGAGATTTTGACATGGAATTGTTGGTTGTCTGAAATGAAACACAGCTCAAAGATCAATGAGGATGAAGAATTGCAAGCTTCTCTTGTTTCTTCATGAGATATAAATAGCATAAATTCTTTCATCAAAGATACAGGTTTTATATATATATGGGAATTTTATACCCCTCCCATTGCTAAAAAATTAGAGATCAAATTCATTTGACTATACTATTCAGCTGTCTGTATATGTGATCTCTTGTGTTTTTCCCATTGGCAATGGCAGAGTTTAGACCATCATGATTTATGAGGTATTGTTTTAGATGTCTAATGAATTTCTTTTAACATGGTTTTGATGGTTTTACTTCCTTCTCACTTGTGGGTCACAATCACTTTGGGGATTGAATAATAGATATTATATACACCAGATATTTGCATTACAATTCATAACATTAGCAAAATTACAGTTACGAAGTAGTAACAAAATAATTTTACAGTTGGGGCTTACCATAACCACATGAATGGTATTAAAGTGCTGCAGCATTAGGAAGGTTGATAGCCATTGTTCTAACATAGTCCA